TGATGGAGCCATGGGACTTCTTGCATTAGGTTTCAAGCCATATGACCATAAAAAGGTCAACCAGAAGTGACCTTGTGTGATCCGGAAGTAGCTATGTTTTGTACTTATTTAATATAAAAGTATATAGAACCATATATTTTTTGAAATCAGTGTCAGGTAGACTATCATTTTAAACCAGAAGTGACATTTTTCAAATCGGAAGTAACAAATTATCATCCTTATTTCAAACAGAAAAGTATCGAAACCATATATTTTTGGAATCAGCGCACAGTTAGCTATCATCTGACACTAGAAATGACATTTTAAACTCGATTATCATATTTTCATATCAAAATACATGGTTTTTTTTTTGTGGAAAGACCTTCAATTTTTCTCTGAACAACTAGTTTTTAATTTTAATTGAATGTCTTCTAAATTATGGGACCACCAGACATGACAAAATAGTTTTTTTTACTTTCTTTGTTTTATGTAATGATACACACCTTAAGCCTTATGTCCTGAACATGAGGAAAGATCACTTTTTTCTGTACTTTTATTATTGTTAACGATATGATTATTGTCATCTTAAACTATCAGTTAACTACTAATGATGTTGAATTAGTATCATCTATTCAGTATTTTGTTTATTTATAAAATACTATACAACATATATTTATAATCCTTTCTCCTCAGTTAAATCTTTTAAGGTGCTATTTCTCTCTCAAATCAGAAATGTTGGTTTGTAATGATGCAAGTGTCTCTGACTTTTAAACCTATGAATTATTTCTTTTCTATTTTTCATAAAAAAACTAAGAAATAAATCCTTTTTCCTAACTGAATGATGAGATTAAAGGATATATCGATGGAAGATATTGTATAGAATACAAGAAATATATATTACGGCAACAGGCTTTAGTATACATTAAACAGTGCTATGAGTTTTCGGTCTGTATCTCGTATTAAGATATATCTGCGATTATAGTCGCACAAAAAATCTTCAGAGAAAAGTTTGTATTAGTCAGGATTATTTCAGTATAACTTTCATTAAACTTTGATTGTAATATTTATTGTTAAAGAGCCACATAGCGTTTATTATAATCTAATTTTGATATTTAGTGATTAATTAGGCAACATGGCATTCAGGTTTATCTTAGTTCATCTCCAGTTGTGAACATGGTTCAGTTTTGTTAAAAGATATTGTGAATTGTTGTTTGTCTTCTTTTGACCATGATGATATTTGTTTTCTGCGACTTTAGATGGTTTTTGTTGTTCTGTTTATTCCATTTTTATGTTTTCATGCTTTCAAACGTTTATTATATTTTGGTTTTCAAAACTTTTGTTCTCGAGAGTACATTATTATCAACATACTGCTACTAAAACAAATGTCCCAATGACGATGTTATCAAAATTCTGGACTTTTAAGCTGTTTAATCCATGCCCGGTCAGGTTAAATTACTGAGTGTTATATTTGTTCCTTGTTTAAACGTTGATAAACAGATTTTTCATAGATTTATAAAGCTGAAATAGGAATTGAAGTGGATGTGGGATCAGCAGACTCTTTTAGATTTTATTGTTTTATTGACCAGAAAAAATCAACTTTTACATAAGCTTTTGGACAAAAAAAATATGATTTAGAATTTGTTTTGATAACGCATATCATACGTCTAAATCGTGAAATAATATTCAACAAAATACAAGAATTTCTGGTTGGAATAGAGAATTTTCCCGTGTTTGGACAGAATTCTACGCCCTTGGCATGTATACGAACCTGCAATATATCTCGGAAGAGTCTTTTTTTACCTTTCAAAGGGAAAATCCTAACCAAACATTTTGTACCAGTGCCAGTCCCGATTTTCCACCAGTTTTCCCTGTGAACACACTTGGCATCATTGTTTTATTGTATCACATGTATTAACTTTATAAATCTGCATAAAATATTTCCCGTATGATTTCAGTAATAATCGTTCAGTCTATCGCACAACCATAATTTAGATTAATAATGTATTTATGTATAGTTGAAATTCAAAATGTCTTATATGAAAAATTTGTAAAAATAACTCTGATATCGCTCATTTCAAGTGCAATCTTTCTTAACATTTATAATTAGTTCAGACATTTTGAGATATGAGATATTTTGGTGTTAATTACATTTTCTAAGGTCATCTTCTTCGAATCATATGGTCAAATGTAAGATATTGGCTAGGTTTAATGATAGAAATAGAATAACGTTTAAGATTAGAATGACACAACTGTCCCATGTGTCTATAATTCTATCATTAAGAGGATCATTATTTAACGGTGATGAACTTTTATCCATGAAAGGTGTTAAAATGTCTGATCCCTTCTATATTTCCACTAATTTATATAACATTTTTTTTCAAGAGATATGTGCTATAATTTCAAGACAATAAAACTCGTTTCTTGTATGAATAGCCTCACGTATAAATACTGTATTTATATCAATAGTGTTGAGTAAGTCAGAACTAACTATGCTTCACTTCGCATAACAAGTTAAATTACAACTTAGTCATATGTATTGCACGTATTGCTTCCAAACAAAACAGAAAGGACATTTTTGAAAATATGGGACAAATTACAAGCCTTTATACCCCGGGTCTTTTCCATGCATGATGTTGAATAATCCATAGATTATTCAAGTTTATAATTCATTGATCACAGAGAGTATTTAACTGCCAAAAAAAATTTCATTTATCATTAAATAAACAGCTGCGCCATGAGCGCATGATACGCCCGTCGCTTTTTTAAAGAATAAAGTTCAATAGCTTCTCAATGTCATATCAGAAATTCATGAAAAACTAAAGGGAGGTTATCTTAATAGATATAAACCAGTCATCAAAGTCTCATGATAACTGCTCAAAGCATTGTCCGAAAACTTGACCCCCCTTTTTTATGAATAAAATCACAGAAATCTGAAACGTAAAATCTAAAATTTATAATAATCGAAAGTAAGCTTACGTCAATAGATATAAACAATTCACCAAAGTTTCATGAAAACTGCTCAAAGCATTTTTGAGTTATTGTCCAAAAACTGGAAAATCCCCTTTTTTTTTAATGAATAAAACCCCAGAACTCATAAACGTCAAATTTAAAATTTATAAAAAAAACGAAAGGGAGCTCAGGTCAATAGATACAAACAATTCACCAAAGTTTCATGCAAATTGGTTAAAGCGTTTTTGAGTTAATGTCCGACATGTTGACGACGGACGGACGAACAACGGTATACCATAATACGTCCCGTAAACGGGCGTATAAAAAACGGGAAAATGAAAAACAAATATTTTCTTAATTTTGCTTTAGACATAATCTCATAATCATAAATAAAGCCTCTGCTAAAGTTTCATAAAATCCTATTGAAGTTCGACAAATCTATCGATGTCTCAAGCACTTGAACTTTGGATTGTATCGTAATGTCACCTACAAAAAGTCTTTTTATTGGTAAAATATAGACAAAAAAAACATATTTATGAAACTTTGTTTTGCATACTATCTTTTGATCATAAAAAAGTTTTCATCAAATTCATATTATAATCAAACATTTAAATGTATTACAATGTTACCCTGCTACGTAATGGACCAACAGTCCTTTTTTTGCATGTATATTGCAGAACATATATCATCCTCTTTGGGCACATTCTTTCCCGAGCTGAACAGTCTTTGCTCTTACTTCTAACTTATTTTATGTTTTACAGAAAAGCAGAAAATAACAATTTATAAGTCCTTGGATTGACTTTGGAGCAGATCAAAGCCATGTTATCCTGTACGGTGACCTGTACCCATGCCATCACACTACCAAGAGATCATCAAGGTAATTAATACATAATGTTGTTCCTAAAGAGTAGACTAAACTCATGATATCTATATCACTCCGAACCATAATTGGGTGACATATTACTTTTCCTCCGTTCTTTTTCATTATTATTATTATTATTCTTCCACCTTTTTTTGTCTGAAGCATTCCTGGAAGACTAATGGACCAATATTGATCAAACTTGGGCATAATGGTAATCACCATATGTAGATTCGTAATTCCACTTTGAAACTGACGTTATAATGGAATCAGCACAAATGCGAAAAAAAGAAAGAGTTCCAAACTTAAAGAAACTTCACAGAAATGTCACTGGTCATGAGGAAATGTGGCTTCTGAGTTTAAAATGTTTAAAATGGTCGCCGTTACCATGGAAACAGCCCGGAAAAGTTTTAATGCTACAAACTTAATGAAACTTTACAAAAATATTAACTAGCTGAGGAAGATGAGCTATTCGCCTTTGAAAATTTTCAAAATGGCTGCCGTTTCCATGGAAACAGAAAAAATATGAAAAATATTTAAAAGCTCCATATATTCTGAAAATTTACTGAAAGATGTATAGCCATGCATTTATGTGCAGTCGCTGTTTAAAACTCTAGAAAAAAATAAAATCACAAAAATACTGAACTCCGAGGAAAATTCAAAACGGAAAGTCCCTAATCAAATGGCAAAATCAAAATGATAAAACACATCAAACGAATGGACAACAACTGTCATATTCCTGACTTGGTACAGGCATTTTCATATGTAGAAAATGGTGGATTGAACCTGATTTAATAGTGCTAAACCTCTCATTTGTACGACAGTCGCATCAATTTCCATTATATTGACAATGAAATGGCTGCTGCTTAGTGGCAATTGGAGATGATGATATGCACTATTGATTGCAATAGCAATTTTAGTATTTTTGTTCTCTCCCAACCATTTGGTTTAATTGTCATCAAATAAATATTTTTTGTGTTTCTTTCTTGGTCATTCTTGATGATGGTTCTTGTAGAAAAATGCTTGATTGTAGATGTTTGCCATTGATATCTTGCATTATTTCATTCTTAAATTACTATGTATAAACTATTGTTTGTTTTAGCTATTCTGAGACAAGTCTACTTTATATATGTAAAATTCTGGAATTTTTAAAGGCCTTTAAAAATTGTTGATTTTCTGAAAAGTACTCATAAAATGAAATAAACAAATCATATTCCATTTCATTAATTTATTTATAAACTGCCAACAATAATTATGTAATAAATAACAATTATTTTCATAAAACAGCAACATAAATCATTGAATATAACACAAATCTGAATTTTTAAGTTGTCATGATAACTATGTTTATTGAGCAGTTAAAACAAAGCCAAATTTAATATCGCTATAAACAATTCTGTGTCATTTCACAAAATAGTAATTTAACACCCATTGCTTCCATTCTGATCATTAATAAAATCATATATCACTCATAATAATACATATAATACTATATATGTTAAATTGCCCAAGTATTACCAACACTTATCATATTCTCATGCATGCATTTGTAAAATATGGAACGTCTATTTCTCAATGGAAATTAGACATGATCATAATTTCCAAACATGTTCTAGCAATAAAACACTTCTCTAAAACAGTTTTACTCAATGTATTAAGTTTGATAAACATGGATACATATTCATCCAACATAAACTCTTTTACTACAAACTTAAGTAAAATTTAAAAAAAATGTTAAACTGTAAATAATATCATTCTGTATTTGACATATGTAACTGCTATATGCAAATGAATAGATATAAACATTTATGGAAATTTGATATTTTGCTGTTTTATCATAATTATAAATTAGCTGTTTATAAAATTTTCGAAATACCAAGGCTTTTCTACCTCAGGAATAGATTACCTTAGTTGTATTTGGCAAAACTTTTAAGAATTTTGGGTTCCCATTGCTCTTCAACTTCAATCTTTATTTGGCTTTTTTAACTTTTTTTTATTCGAGAATCACTGATGAGTCTTTTGAAGATGAAACGTGTGTCTGGTGTTCAAAATTTCAATCCTGGTATCTATGATGAGTTTATTTATATGTCTAAAGACAAATTACCTGATCATAAAGAAAATCACAAAGAAGATAGTAAATGACTTATAATATGAAACAACCATTTTCATATTTATATCATTTTAATTGTCTGGACATAAAATGACATAAAATGTCAAGACTTGTTAAGAGCCTACGTTTTTTTATAGCTATATATTCGTCTTGTAGAGAACTCGGTATTGTTTAAATATTGGCTTACTAGTGGTCAGTCTTATACTGTTGTGTTACTAGTCATACAATTCAGGATTTGTTATCTAACACATGTAAATAACAGCTTCTGAATATTCTGAAAATTTAGTGAGCATATCTTAATTGACTGCAAGAAAAGGGACTCAATGAACTACAAAAGACAAAACATTTACTATCAATTGCTTCAAAATGGTACAGCAAAACCAATCAAGGTGTTTAAAAATTATTTTTATTTCTTAACCTATTTACTCTGTTCCTTACTAATTGCTATTTTTTCATAATCAATGTGTAATTCCCCTGTTCGCAGTTGTTTATTGAAAGAAAAGCAATGATCACAAAGAAACTTAGGTATTTTTTTAAAATTTGCTCTTGATCATAAAAAAAAATTCCGGTCCAACTTTCATAAAATACCATGAGTTTGACAAAGTTATTGATGTTTGACTGTATCTTAATGGTAACTGCAAAATAAAATTCCATCCATTTATCAGAAAACAGGGAAAATGAAAAACAGTACTTTCATAACCTTGACCTGAAATTCGGAAAACAAAATACTGAAAAAATTTATACCTTTTATGATACTCTTTTTGAAAAAAAATAAATATAAACTTATGAATACAATGAGGCACATTTAAATGGACATTGATTTTATTGACAGATAATGAAACAAATAATTAGGAATAATGTTCATGATTGAATATCTATTATTTGTGAGTATATCTGCCATCACAAGAAAGCTTGGAGAAATACCCTTTTATCCTGCCATTGGTCCTCTTAAGTTTACTGGTTGTTTGGTCATCATCTGAATACATTCCTTACGAATAACTGTATCAGTTTCAAGACTGAGTTTTCAATCATGTTTCATAAAGCTCAGTCTTCAATACTTTCTGACATGATTGTTACCTTTTCAAATGAAGAACAGTTTTTATCACTTTCACTGACTTCTTTATTTTCAGAACAATATTTTAAAAAACTCTCAGCAGTTTCAATATTATCACAGTTTTCTTCCATGTTCTTTGCATGTTTGCTAACTGCATTATCAGTTTTACTGTCAGCATTTTCAATAACATTAATTTGTTCAATGAACTGGCCTTCTTCAAATTCAGAATTTTTTTCATCACTGATATTTTCATTAACAGAACTGTTAAGTGTTCCATCACATTTACTTTTCTCCTTTAGCACCAATTTATAAATATGTAAAGGTTCACTTTTGTCTATGGATTGAACATGCCTTAATGTTGATAAATCAAAAGCTCTTATAGACAGCTGACGTTGTAAATTTATAAGCTGAGCTGAACTTTTATCTACGGTAGAGGTACGACGGAGACTAGAATTTGGATCAAATGTTTCTATGGATTGACAAAGCTCATGTAAAGCATTCAAGTCCCTTTCTTCTGTAGCTTTCAAAATGTGATGTACTTTTGGTTGCTTCCAATGTTCTGTAAAAATAACATTATTCCAAGAATAATTTATGGTAAATATTTCCTTATCATGAAAAAACGTTTTCATCAAAATAAAAGTAAAATCTGTTTGTTTGATTTTTGTCACAGACAAAACCTTAATCTTTAACAAAATTTAATCAAGTTTAATTAATTATTGAATCCTCTTGAATCTTGAAACTTTAAATAAAAATCATAATTTCCCAGTCCCTTTGTGTTTTCTTATAAACTCCTATGACTCCTATAATCACCCTGGATAGACATTTCATGGCAGTATAGTTAAGTACTTCATAAAAGGAACAAACGTTTAAAATCAATAATAACTAGCTTTCACTAGCCTTGTGAAACATCTATTTTTAGCCTGTTTGTTGCAGCACAGGATCACAGTACCAATTTTTATTTTTTACAAGAGGTCACTTTAAGACTGGGAGATGTATGTTCACTATAACAATATCTAAATTCCTATTACAGTTATAAGAATTGTTCTTCATAGTTAACCATGTTTATATATCATATATTGTATGAATCTAAAATATATATTCATAAATCTCAGTAAAGTAAATTTACAAAGTTCCATCATAATACTCTGTTTTGGCCAATCCATGAACAAATATAATTATACAACATTAACTGCAACTGTAGTGTCCGGTTATTTTGGTTAAATTTGGTTTATAGCTGGTTTTATGATTAGCTCTTTGTAAAACTGTAATAAATCTCTGTTACGGTCAATTATTTGGTTTAATTTAAACATTTCTTATGTGCTATGTGAGTAAATATGGATTTTCAATATGTATATTTATACAACAAGTCTACAGATCTGACCACATAAAGAATCATATGTTACATTTAATTGAACTACAAATCCAGAAAGTAGAAACAATATGTCCAATTATTATCAATATCTTATAAGTATGTGTCTAGAAATGCTACTACAATACTCTTCACAGTAATTAACCGTATTGTCTTTTGTTTTTGGTTTGTTTTTTGCAATTGTATTTGAGATGCCTTATAAAAATCAATTCTGCTAATCCATAAAAAGAATTAACTTCTAAAATTGCTTTTAAGCATTTACACAGCATAATTTTCATTAATGTAGCATTTCTTTTCTTTCTTGTTTTTGTGAGTTTTTTTCCTTACATTTTCAAAGACATTTTAAGATTCAAACTCTGTGCTTTGATTTATAAAACCTTTACTACTATTGCAGATCATTCTCACTCTTATTGAATGACAGATATACGCCAGATTAGTCAGAATTAAGACAAATAGAAGTCCCATCATATCTGACCTCTATATTCTGACATTAATTAAAGCAGTGATGTATGACTATAGCTGTTTATTTCACTAATAGATATTTGATGGATTAAAAATGGGCCATTACTCTGCCATAGACCAATATAAGTATATCAAATTGATATTACAATGTTGTTTAAAATGTATTACCATTTGTTTCCTGTGCTAGTGCTGGAGTAATCTGTTCATTATCATGACGAATCACATTCTTTGTGTAGTTCTTCAGAAGTTCTACTATGTCTGAATTCTGAAAATTAGTATAAAATATAAAGAGCTCAGTTTACCAGAAGTCTTTATTATAGGCAGTAATTATTTGTTAAAGAAGTGGCTTTACAGGAAATAATATTCATAAAGGATTGATTAATGTTTGCCTAACATCCAGGGCAAATTTTTTAACCTTCTTTTACTTTAGGGACATTGAACTTTAGATAAAGGGTTCCACTTTAGTTAAAGGTTAGGTAAGAGTTGGTTTAAAATAAGGATAAGTATTAGGGCTCTGGCTAGTGTTAGAGTATGGCAAGGATTAGTTTTAGGATTAGGGTCAATCAATTATAGTCCTATATAAGTTAGGTCCTTTCAAGTAAAAGAAGGTTATCATCTCATGCACATTGAACACAACATATGCAGGATTTTCAATCAATAACATATCATATTCAAACACTTTTAAATGGGAAAGAATGAGAGAGGTTTAACGGCAATGTTTGATAATCACTTCAAATAAAGGACTGATAAAAGAAGCATAGTTTTTGGCCTACCCCAATGTCCTAGATATAAGTGTTATCTGAAGCAGTAGTGAGCAGTGGTTAGCTATTGTTAACAGTAGTTAGCAGTAGTTTTAGAGAAGTTATTTGAAATAAATGGGGAATGTGTCTATGGGACACAGATGATGACCCCACTTGCATATCATATAAAGTTATAAAGGGACATAACTGAAGAACGGTAAAAGTCACTCTCCCAAATTTGTACTTGATTTGAGTTTTGTGGTGATACGTATTGTATATAAGTTTCATAACATTTGGTTGAGGCAAACTTAAGTAAGAGAACGGAAACAGAAATTCAGCAATTTTTCCCTTTGTAAAGGGGCACAACTCTAGAAAGGTTAAATTGACGCCACCAAAATTCAAATTTGATCTGCGTTTTGTGGTAATAAGCATTGTGTATAAGTTTCATAACATTTGGTTGAGGCAAACTAAAGTTAGAGAATGGAAACGAAAAATTCATCAATTTTTCCATTTGTAAAGGGACATAACTCTAGAACAGTTAAAGTGAGGCCACCAAAATTCAATCTTGATCTGTGTTTTGTGGTAATAAGCATTGAGTATAAGTTTCATAACATTTGGTTGAGGCAAACTAAAGGAAGAGAATGGAAACTAAAAATTCAGCAATTTTTCCATTTGTAAAGGGGCATAAATCTAGAACAGTTAAAGTGATGCCACCAAAATTCAAACTTAATCTGTGTTTTTTTGGTAATAAACATTTTGTATAAGTTTCATAACATTTGGTTGAGGCAAACTAAAGTTAGAGAACAGAAACGAAAAAAATTCAGCAATTTTTCCATTTATAAAGGAGCATAACTCTAGAATGATTTAAGTGACGCCACCAAAATTCAAACTTAATCTGTGTTTTGTGGTAATAAGCATTGAGTAATAATTTCATAACATTTGGTTGAGGCAAACTAAAGTTAGAGAATGGAAGCGAAAAATTCATCAATTTTTCCATTTGAAAAGGGGTATAACTCTAGAACGGTTAAAGTGACGCCACCAAGATTCAAACTTGATCTGTGTTTTGTGGTTATAAGCATTGAGTATAAGTTTCATAACATTTGGTTGAGGCAAACTAAAGTTAGAGAATGGAAACGAAAAATTCATCAATTTTTCCATTTGAAAAGGGGCATAACTCTAGAATGGTTAAAGTGACGCCACCAAAATTCAAACTTGATCTGTGTTTTGTGGTTATAAGCATTGAGTATAAGTTTCATAACATTTGGTTGAGGCAAACTAAAGTTAGAGAATGGAAACGAAAAATTCAGCAATTTTTCCATTTGTAAAGGGGCATAAATCTAGAACGGTTAAAGTGACGCCACCAAAATTCAAACTTGATCTGTGTTTTGTGGTAATAAGCATTGAGTATAAGTTTCATAACATTTAGTTGAGGCAAACTAAAGTTAGAGAATGGAAACGAAAAATCCATCAATTTTTCCATTTGTAAAGGGGCATAACTCTAGAACAGTTAAAGTGAGGCCACCAAAATTCAATCTTGATCTGTGTTTTGTGGTAATAAGCATTGAGTATAAGTTTCATAACATTTGGTTGAGGCAAACTAAAGTTAGAGAATGGAAACTAAAAATTCAGCAATTTTTCCATTTGTAAAGGGGCATAAATCTAGAACGGTTAAAGTGATGCCACCAAAATTCAAATTTAATCTGTGTTTTTTTGGTAATAAGCATTTTGTATAAGTTTCATAACATTTGGTTGAGGCAAACTAAAGTTAGAGAACAGAAATGAAAAAAATTCAGCAATTTTTCCATTTATAAAGGAGCATAACTCTAGAGTGATTTAAGTGACGCCACCAAAATTCAAACTTGATCTGTGTTTTGTGGTTATAAGCATTGAGTATTAATTTCATAACATTTGGTTGAGGCAAACTAAAGTTAGAGAATGGAAACTAAAAATTCATCAATTTTTCCATTTGAAAAGGGGTATAACTCTAGAACGGTTAAAGTGACGCCACCAAAATTCAAACTTGATCTGTGTTTTGTAGTTATAAGCATTGAGTATAAGTTTCATAACATTTAATTGAGGCAAACTAAAGTTAGAGAATGGAAACGAAAAATTCAGCAATTTTTCCATTTGTAAAGGAGCATAAATCTAGAACGGTTAAAGTGAAGCCACCAAAATTCAAACTTAATCTGTGTTTTGTGGTAATAAGCATTGAGTATAAGTTTCATAACATTTGGTTGAGGCAAACTAAAGGAAGAGAATGGAAACGAAAAATTCAGCAATTTTTCCATTTGTAAAGGGGCATAACTCTAGAATGGTTAAAGTGACGCCACCAAAATTCAAACTTGATCTGTGTTTTGTGGTTATAAGCATTGAGTATAAGTTTCATAACATTTGGTTGAGGCAAACTAAAGTTAGAGAATGGAAGCGAAAAATTCATCAATTTTTCCATTTGAAAAGGGGCATAAAACTAGAACGGTTAAAGTGACGCCACCAAAATTCAAACTTGATCTGTGTTTTGTGGTTATAAGCATTGAGTATAAGTTTCATAACATTTGGTTGAGGCAAACTAAAGTTAGAGAATGGAAACGAAAAAATTCAGAAATTTTCCATTTGTAAAGGGGCATAACTCTAGAACTGTTAAAGTGATGCCACCAAAATTCAAACTTAATCTGTTTTTTTTTGTTTTTTTTTTACTTTTGATTTTTTTATTTCCAACAATTACAACATATACATGACATACATACAACATAATACATATAAGATATATACAGTGTCATTATTATAAATACATCTAAATTGGAAATATTTTACATTTTCTATTGAAAAGATGAAAAAAAAAAAAAAAAAAAAATAAGTTAATAAATAAATAAATAAATAAATAAATAATGATAATTAACAGATTGGAGTTAAGAGTAAAGAAGAAGGGGAAAAAAACAATTAAAAAAAACAAAACAAAAGGATTATCGAGTTACATCCCTATCTATATTTTAAATATCAAATATCAATATGTTGAAAAATATTTGCAAAATTAACTAGACATATTTCTTTCGTAACAGCCATCAACACAGATCAACTACATAACATGACAATAATATTTTCTTTAAAATAGATTATAATTAAATAGTCATAAGTTATTCATAATCTGTGTTTTTTTGGTAGTAAGCATTTTCTATAAGTTTCATAACATTTGGTTGAGGCAAACTAAAGTTAGAGAACGGAAACCAACTTTGGGACGTACGTACGTAAGGACGTACAGACGGACAAGGGTAAAACTTAATGCCCCCTCTGCTATGGCGGGGGCATAAAAATGCATAATGGAACACAACAAATTCCAATTGATGACAGCAGGTTAATATACTTTAGCCTTAAGGCTATTTGAGTTGAGTGAACTAAGCTGAAGAAAACCATTTAAGAAGAATTGCTACACTTTTTGTCATTAAACTGTTAAATCAAAAGCATGATGAAATTGAATTGATTACGTTTGTGCATAATATTTGTAGTAAGAAACATAATTGTATTTCTGGATCAGCAAAGACAATTTCATATTTGAAAACCTCACAAAATTATGTAATTGTCCCTTAAGCTAAGGTTACAAATTCACAAAGCAAAGGTGACCTTAGACAGTTTAGGTTAATGTCTTTTTATACCCTTTCTGTATTTGTGCTCTTCACATATATTTTTTTGCTTTCCAAACTTTTGGTCTGGAGCAAAATGCTAAAGAATATTTTTCATGTCAGGCCTTTTTATAGATAGATATAACAAGATGTGGTATGAGTGCCGATGAGACAACTCTCCATCCAAGTCACAATTTGTAAAAGTAAACCATTATAGGTCAAAGTACGGTCTTCAACACGGAGCCTTGGCTCACACCGAACAGCAAGCTATAAAGGGCCCTAAAAATGACTAGTATAAAACCATTCAAACAGGAAAACCAAAGGTCTAATCTATATAAAAAATGAGAAACGAGAAACACTTAATTAAGAACCACATCAACAAAAGACAACCACTGAACATCAGGTTCCTGACTTAGGACAGGTGAAAACAAATGCAGCGGGTTTAAATATTTTAATAGGCGCCAACCTTCACCCTACCTGAAACAACAGTGTAACATCGCAACATAGAAAGACACACTATAAAATATCAATTGAAATGGCTTAACTCAATCAAAAGACATGTTAACAAAAACAAGTGAACATACACTGAACGAATAAATTTGATCTATGACACAATGTATATACAAAATTAATAAAACAAGGGGGTTAGATGTAAAACAATATCAAAAAGACAACCATAACCTTGGACAAAATGCCACCAAATAAAATAACTTACACAGGTAAATAAAAATAATTTTGTTATAAAGTATACATGGAGTACGGAAATAATTTTTACAAAATAAATAATTTAGTTGTTCCTAGTACGAGAACAAAAGTGAAAATATATTGTCATACTAACACTAAAGGTGGTATATATAAAAAATAGTGAGACTAGATATAACACTGAATAAGTAAACATTAAATAACAAAAA